TGCTGTGCCATTTAACCGTTAATAACCATGATTACAATGGCGAGTGGCGTGAGTACTCTACAACTGCTTGGACCCTTGCCAGGGGCCTAACATGAATCAAACGCTAAACCTCAGAACTTTGGTCGCGGACCACTCTTGTGGTGTACCGGTGGATCAGCTGGAAGCACATCGTCAACTCGTTCCCCGGCGCTGGCCTATCTTGAAGGCTGTGGACGGAATTCGTCGAGAATCCTCAATGGGTTTTCTAGGCTTACTTTCGTCGTTGGTTTTCCCTGCCAGTGATGCTGAAGGCTCCATGGAATGATTACCTTCCAGCCATGAAGCATCAAGCTCTGTATCACCATTCTCGTTGCTTGTTAGTTAGACAAGCACGGCCCCTCCCAGGAGGAGATACAAAGAGAGCCACCCATCAAGAAGAAGAGGAGGAAGAGGCTCCTCTTGCTTTGAACCACCCTTTTCCCGTGCACCGCCCCCCCCCCCCCCCCCCACCAGCCAAGAAGCTTTGCCCAAGCCTCACATCATTGAGATGGGCTTTGGAGAAGGCTCTATGTTGGAAGCTGTCGAAAACTTGGAATGACGATGACTCTTCGGAATCGCATGCAATCATTCCAAGCTGTTGTTAGGCAGATCTCACGGACTTTTCCTGCATGTTGACTTAGAGCGCCGAAGGGGGAACTTTAAACCTTTTGTCCTCATATTAAATTTGGTATACAATCGAAAGTTAGAACTTTGTGGGGCCCGTGTCTTGAAGAAGAGAGTTGAAGCCGCCATGTGCCCGCAAACAGGGTTGCGTATGAAGCATAAATATGCACCAGAGCTTCTCATTTGCAGTCGAACTTCTGGATCTTTGGCTCAGGGTCTACCTTCGGGAGGATGGAGAGTGGAAGCTGGTGTGCGACCTAGTGCAGAGTCAAGCATGAGGATTTCGGCGGATGGCACCGAGCTGACAGCTCCAACCTCTCCAGGGCACCCTGTGCCCTTCCCCAGACATGACCAGGGATGTCGGTTGGGGATGTGCAGCTTTTCGCACTTTTGGATTCGCCGTTTGGGTAGGAAGGGATAAAGCGAGCTGCCGGTGGATCTTTCTTCTGACTCTGACAGTCCTCAGATTCCCAGACCCGAGAGTCTTGGCCCTGCAGCCAAGATCAGCAAAGAGCAGCCTCTGCCGACGCCATCCGAGGCCCGCTGCTGCTGCTGCTGCTTGCTTTCTTTGGGTTTCTTTGTCTATGGGGTGCTGGCGACCTGGTCAGACCCAACGCCTGAACAGCGCAAGCGACCGCAATAATTTTCTCTCCAATTCCTAGCTTCCCCTCTCTTGCTGTAGCGGCCAAACTTGCCCGTGCACAGGACCCCTCCAAGCTGCTGTTGCAAATCGATGAGTCGGGGAAGGCTCGTCCTACACGCCTCATCGTCTCAGCCATCTCGGAAGCTGCAGAAGGCGTCAGCCTATTCCAGAGTGCCCTTAGAATCGCGCAAGAAGGGAATCTTCGAGGTGGTATGTGGATAGGAGGATCGCAAAGATTGGTTTTGTTCTCCGAAAGTTTTTCAGGCAGTCTTGAGGCAGCTTCGCAAGCCTACAGACATAAACCCCGTCCGACAGGCATGAAGAGTGCCTCCCCAGACGCTCACAAGACAGCCGAACTAAAACTTGAAAATAAGCTATGGGCAGAGGCTCACAGCATCTTACAGCACCTCTTACTCGGCCCGACCAAACGCAGGCTTTGAGGCTGCTCGAGTTCCTGGAGAACGCGGTTCCGCCCTCGGGTTCGTTTTGGTGTTTCGGGTTCGGGAGTCTGGTCCCTTTTGATGTTGATGCGTTGTTCGGATTGCGGTTCCGTGTTCTGTGAGCAACTTCATCTCACCGACCTTGAGAACTCGGTCTCAACCGTGAACGGGGGGGGGGGAGGGGTTCCAGGCTTCTTACAAGCTGTAACCCAGCAGCTAGCAGCTAGCAATGGCCTCCGACTTTCCGTGGCTGCCCTTATGAGGTGCATTCGCCTGCGTTTGAGATGAAGCATGCCGTGCGGGCACTGGACACCTTGGCGGTTCAGAGGTGGGGCGTGGTTCAGACCGGTGTGCGATCCCTGAATCCTTCCGGGCCCTCCGAACGTGACCGGTTCAGCTTTACAGGCTTCTCGTGAGGTGCCCCGTTTCTTGGGTCCTCAATGCTGAGCTTTGAAGGTGGCCATGCAAGCTCCGATGAAAGCATTTTTAGCAGCCCTTCGTGGTCCCTGAGGCCGAGCTTGAACGAGGAGGATCTGGCCCGGCTCGGCGACCGGTGGGGCTCTCGGGTCCGAGACTTCGTCAGCTTAGGCTTCGTCGTTGCAAGTTTTCATGAGACCATGGCTGAAGGTCATACTCATGATGCAGGCAACTGTACTGCAGCATTGCTACCGGGTAGCTGAAATTTGTAGGACTAGTAGGAGGAGGAGGGATGAACACGGCAGAGGAGGGGAGGAGAGGTTGGCGGTAAAGCCGGCAATCAAGTTCACAAGGCTGCTGACGACTTGGGGCGTTCACACGATTGAAGAGGGATCCTCCAGTCACATGGTCAGCCGAAACCGCTTTAGAGCATGAGCTTGATTCAGATGCAGCTGCCTTCCTTTCTACGACTACCTGAGGCCCGGGCTGGCAGCGCTGGTCGAGCGGACCAAAGCATTTTTGCAACCTGAGCTGCGTTTTTGACAGAGTCACTGGGAGTTCATCCTGATGAGGTGCAACAGCTCTCATCGGGACACTACTTGTAGCACTGCTCTGAATGGTGCCGCTAGTCCGCTAGCTCTCGCTGTTGTAAGTGGACCAGCATGATTTCTGCTTCTGGAGGCCTAAAGCCTTTCAGTGCCACTGCAACAGTGATAATTGATACAGAGACTAGCTTCTATTTATCGCAAGTACTGTCAAAGTTGTCGTGTGAGTTGAGCTGGGACACATCTTAAGGTCGAGGCTCTAGACTCTAGACCTGGAGCTTGCATTCTTCACTCGCCCAATGACTGCTGAAGCTGGTCCTCTCGAGCTTCAGCGCTCTGATGTCCTAGGCCTCAGATTCTTCCCTGTCCCAACCGCCCTCTGCCTTTGGAGAGCCTTGCCTGTTAGGGCTCCCGGTTCCCGCACGAAACCCCGTCCGTCCCAGAACGCAAACTCCCACCTTGGGGCGGAAGACTCTTGCAGGCAGCAGATAGAAGACGAGGATGGAGGCAGCCTGGTTTGCACAGCCACTGCGGGAGTGCAGGATTGGAGCTTCAATTCAGGCGGTTTGTGACAGGCATGGATCTGCGACCCTCGGGCCCTAGGATTCCAGTAAATAGCGTGTCGCAAACCAAGTGGGCCCAGCGCGATTCAAGAAACCACCTGGCGAGCATAGAAGGCATGCGTATACAGCATACATCATGATACTATATATAATGAAACCGAATAAACCGACACCAATGTGCCCTCGAGTTGCAGTCGCGCCAGGATTGGGTCCGCGATGGAGCACTCTGCTCCTGCACGCGCTGGCCGTGTACCAGGACATGCAACATAGCAATGTCTGCGCAAGAGCACTCGAGCTGTTAGGGCAGGTGGATCAGAAAGAGTGGAGGTCTCCCCCCTCGTGTTGTCCCTTCCGAGTAGATAAGACTTGTGTTCTGCGTGTCGGAAGACTCCCGGTGCCCTGTGCCGAAATTCCGAAATTCAGCCTTCAGCCGATTCCGTGTCCTTCTTCCGAGCGCTGGGCCCTCGACCCTACTCTCAAGCAGGCATGGATCCACTTGGTTGTCTAACTGCCATCATCTTCTAGCTATCTACTTTCGACCAACATATCTGCTCACTCAAACACAACCACACATGTCTGCGCATCTCCCCAGTCCTGTCTCTGAAGCCCCTGTCTCTGAAGCCAGGATGTTCCAGTGCTCAATCGCCTCGTGGTTCCAGTGGCTGAGGAGGCGGCGCAGGCGGCTGGGAAGCCCGGAGGCTTTTCGTTGTCAATCTAAAGGATTGCTGTGATTTTGGTCAAGGGAGTTTTAAGGAGGATGAGGACAAGGACGAGGATGATGCGAATGATGACGAAGGAGGACGACGAGGAGGTGACGATCGAGATGCTTTTCACGGTGATGACGATGATGACGGTGCTCTGCAGAAATTGTTATGGTGACGAGCATCTTTGCATGACTACTTGCTGGTGTTTGGGTTGCTTCGACCACCAACAGTGTTTCCGGCTCGGGGCTCTTGCAGTATCATGTAATTCCCAAAGCGCCCAAAGAGAGCATAAGCCAGCAGTTTATGCTTGCCTCCATTTCGCTGCAGCCAGTTCAAGCGCGGGGGTCAGTGCTTCGGTTGTGCTGGTGGGGGGGCTTGTGTTCATTGCAATGACCCAAAAGGACTTGCGCAATGAATGATCTTCAGCACGCCTCACTTACCCGTTTTTTGATAGTCAGGAGCCTATTTACAAATCTGTACCTGTGTCCCTTGAGGCAGACGAATTTGAAAGGCTTGCCACGCCATTCAAGACAACGGGTTGATTCATTCCGAATGCTTTGTCCGTCATCGCGCGTGGCAGACCTTTCACCGCAAGGGCTTTCACAGAGGATGCATGGTCGCACCAAGGTCCCAGACATGAACAACAAGCAGCTCGCCCGGTGCGCTGGGGCCTTACAGCGGACAACACTCCGAAGGGGACCCTAAGACTGGAGTGGCTGGAGCTTAGGGAAAGTGGCATGGGAGTGTCTACAGCAGGGACCCACACAAAAAGCACAGACGAGTGTGGTGGATTGCTACTGTGTCGTTGGAGCTACGAAACGTCGAGGGCTGGTTCTTTGGACTGAACCGCAAGGTCCCTGGGCTCAAGGGTGGTCAAGACCTGAAGCCTGCCTTGAATGCGCACAAAGGCGAGTCTAGACCGTACTTCAGATTGAATGGCTGGCGACGGACTTGATTTTTGCAATTGGATTTTCTCAGGTTCAGAGACATACGTGGCGCCCGCTCACGAATGTCGTGAGAAGTAGAAGTCTTTTGCTGCAGTCCAGGTTTGGGCCATCGGTGAATTGAGGCACGTGTCGCGCTTGCTGCAGGACGGACAGTTTTGCCCAATGTTTACAGGCCTTCGTGGATTCAAAATAGACAGGACCCCCCCCCCCC